GATGCGTCCAGCTATGGCCTTGGCGCAGCTCTCTTCCAACGCCATGACACAGAGTGGAGGCCTGTAGCTTATGGATCCCGAGTGCTGACAGAATGCGAATCTCGGTACTGCCAAATTGAAAAGGAAGCGACTGGGAAGCATGTTTGGTTGTGAGCGGTTTCACGATTTCATTTATGGAAGACCCATAACCTTGGAAACGGACCACCAACCCCTCATCGCTATTGCAAAAAAGAATGTAAGGGACATGCCCCCTTGCCTCTAGCGCTTTTTTCTCGGACTGATGAAGTATAACTACAAGTTTCAATTCGTTCCGGGCAAGCAGCTAGTACTTGCAGATGCGTTGTCACGCGTACCGGCCCCAAGAGACTCACAACCCGTGCCTGAGGAACATGATGCCGAATTGCTTGCGGTCGAAACACTGTCACACCTGGTGAGCGACACCACAATGACCAAGCTCGCTACAGCGACAGCAGAGGACAAGCACAGGCCGAAAAAGATAGCAGCAGCGCGCCAAGAAGTCACAATGCTCAAAAGGCACCAGCCATGTTGAAAAAAACACAAATGAAGAACACAACTGTAGTGATGACACGACAGTTCTCACTCGCGTGCCCCGCGGCAACGCGTCCATGCTAGTGCGCATGCTCGGGGTTATCTCTTCAGTTCGAGAGAAGTGATAATAAAACACTTGGGTTCCGGACTCCGGTGTGGCTGGTCGCTCCTTCCCCGCGAGACATGGTGTCAGAAGTGGGATCCTTCCCGAAGGAGCGACGAAGCGAGTGAGCCGTCGGCGTGGCACATCCTGCAACACCCGCCATGGCGGACGAAGACGCTAAGCCTACGCAGTTCTGCGCTGCCGGCATCCAGCCGCCTCCGAAGTTCGACTTTTCGAACCCCGGCGAGTGGAAGGAATGGGTTTTCCTGTTCGACGACTACTGCTACGCTTCTGGGCTCTACCAGGCGCCGGGCGAAGTGTAAGTCAGGACACTGCTGTACGCCATGGGCTCCCGTGAGGCTCGTCAACTCCTAGACATGTTGGCCTTGACAAGCGACGACTGGTGCTCTCTTCAAGCGGTGAAGACGAAGCTCACCGACCACTTCATGCACCCGGTCAACGAAGTCTACGAAACCGTGCGCTTCCACCGTCGCGTCCAGGCTGAAGGCGAGTCAGTAGACGACTTTTACACTGCACTACGTACGCTCGTCAAAAAGTGCAATTACGCCTCCGCGGAAGTCGAAGAACGCCTCGTCCGCGATATATTCGTCGTCGGTCTTCTGGACTCTAAGCTAGTAGACAAGCATGTCACACGCCAAAGCTCACGCTCGAGGACGCGAGACTTCAGGCCCGTATTCACAAAGACGCCGTGAAGGCCCGGTCTGAACTTTTCCAGAAGGAACCAAATCCTGCCATTGTGGTTTCCGAAGCAAAAGTCCGAAAACGTCTTCCGAAGTCACGACGGCATTCTGACTTGTTGGGGGAAGGCGCAACGAGGACTCCCAAGCCTTGCTCAAGCGACGGACGCTGCAGGTTCTGCGGCAGGTCACCTCACCCCCGCTCCGAATGTCCGGCAAAAGAGGCAAGATGCAGGCGGTGCAAGAAAGTTGGACACTTCGAAGCCGTCTGCGAAAAAAAAGCCATGGGTTCTGTCGAGCTGCACACAGTTGCGGCAGGCGCCCGTACCAGAGCCAAGTTCGCAACCGTGGCCGTCAACGGAAACAACGTGAACCTCAAAGTGGACTCTGGAGCGGAGGTGACCGTGGTGTCAAGTTCATTCCCTGGAGTACCAAAAAAGCTTCGTGCACCAGAAGGTGAGCTCACGGGCCCCGGAAACCACCCCCTGAAAGTACTGGGCACGTTCCCCGCAGCGCTGCAATGGAGGGACAAGTCGACCGCGCAGGACATTTACGTCATGCCATCACAACACCCTCCTCTTCTCGGCTTCCCAGCAATACAAGCGCTGGGAGTCATTCAGTTTGTCGACAATGTGGCGACATCAGTGGTGCTGCGGAGAGACAGGCTTTTCGACGGTCTGGGGGAGCTAAAGGAGGAAAATGTCATCCGCCTTCGACCTGGTGCCAAGCCCTTCGCTCTAAGCGTGCCGAGGAGGGTCCCGATCCCGCTGCACGACGTCGTTCGAGCTCAAGAAACTAGAGACTGAAGGAGTCATCCGCAAGGTTGACCGCCCCACAGACTGGTGCGCGGGCATGGTCGTCGTTTCGAAGACAGGAGGAGGCTACCGCATCTGCGTAGACCTCACGCGCCTCAACCAAGTCGTACTGAGGGAGCGTCAACTTTTACCTTTGGTTGAGAACATCCTCGGACGTCTCGGGCCAGCGAAGGTTTTCTCGAAGCTGTACGCCACTGCAAGCTTCCACCAAGTGAGGCTTTCTGAAGAAAGTCAGGAGCTAACGACGTTCATAACCCCGATGGGAAGGTTCTGTTTCCGCAGGCTGCCTTTTGGCATCTGTTCAGCGCCAGAGTACTTCGAGCGTCAGATGAGTCGCATTCTAGAGGGACTGAAAGGAGTTGTAAGCATGATCGACGACATTCTCGTCTTCGGCGCATCAAAGGGCAGGCACGATCGTCGACTCCAGCAAGTGCTGCAAAGGCTCGACGAGGCAGGCGTCAAGCTAAACAAGAAGTGCAGCTTCGCTGCCTCAGAAGTCAAGTTTCTCGGCGTGTTGGTCAGCGCGAGAGAAATCAGCCCGGACCCCGAAAAGATCGAGGCTCTGCAGAAGTTGCCGATACCCTCGGATGTTAGCGGGGTGCGAAGACTGCTAGGAATGGCGAACCACGTGGGGCGCTTCATTCCACACCTCTCGGGCGTCACGGCACCAATCAGAGAACTGCTGCAACAGCGCAACTCGTGGTACTGGGGACCAAGCCAGCAAGCTGCTTTTGATAAGCTAAAGAGCATGCTTAGCTCTCATATCTGCTTGGCCAAGTACGACCCGTCCTCCCCAACAGTAGTTTCAGCTGATGCAAGCTCTTACGGACTCGGGGCCGTCATGCTTCAAGATCAGCCCTCCGGCGAGAGACGAGCAGTGGCCTATGTATCAAGGGCCCTCACAACCACCGAAACACGCTGAAGCCAGACCAAAAAAGAAGCCCTGGCCGTAACGTGGGCGGTCGAGCGCCTCGATCAGTATTTGAGAGGCATCGACTTCTAAGTCGAAACGGATCACCGCCCCCTCGTCACGCTCTTGGGATCTGCAGAGTTGGATCTGATGCCATCTCGAATTCAGCGACTACGCATCCGCCTCATGCGCTACCAGTTCACCGTTCTTTATGCCACCGGCAAACTTTTAGCTACGGCGGACACCCTGTCAAGGGCCCCGGTGCAGGAACTGGATCAGCACTGCCAATGTCGGGTGGACTCCATAGAACTCTTCGTCGGCGAAGAGGTTTCAGCAGCCGCTGATTTCGTGTCATCCCGCCTGGAAGCCCTACGAAAGCACCAAGCAGAAGACGACATTTTCTCGGGCTTGCAACGCTTCTGTGAAAAGGGATGGCCAGAACATGTGTCCAGAGTTCCTGTTCATCTAAGAGAGTACTGGAAGGAACGTGGGAACATCACCGTGTGCAATGGCTTATTACTCGAAGACCGCCGCATCTTCATTCCGCGCTCGCTGAAACACGAGATACTGCAGCTGATACATGAAGGCCATCAGGGCATCGGATGCTGCAAGGCAAGAGCAAGGGACGCAGTTTGGTGGCCTACTCTAAACAGCGAAATAGAGCAACTCGTGACAGCCTGCGAGCAGTGCACCCAGACAAGAGTACAGCGCTCTGAGCCACTCATCAGCACACCGACTCCCAGTCGTCCGTGGCAGAGAGTCGGAGCGGATCTGTTCGAGCTCGAGGGGAGATACTACGCGCTCGTCGTGGACTATTATTCCCGCTTCCCAGAGGTCATCAGCTTGACGTCGACGACTTCAACGTCCGTCATCGCAGCAGTCAAGAGCACATTCGCCCGGTTTGGGATCCCCAACGTGCTGGTATCAGACAATGGGCTGCAGTTCTCTTCGAGACAGTTCGCCGAGTTCGCCCAGAGCTACGGTTTCGAGCATGTCACGAGCAGCCCACGCTACCCACAGGCGAATGGGGAAGCGGAGCATATGGTGCGGACCATGAAAGAGTTGTTCTACAAGTCAAGGGACCCGCACATGGCCCTCCTGGTGTATCGAGACACCCCTGGAGTGACCGGTTACAGCCCGTCCCAACCGCTAATGGGCCGACGGTTGCAGACAAAGGTACCGAAGATGCCAGAGACGTTGCAGCCGGGGTGGCCATCATGACGGGACTTCAAAAGAAAAGACGGGGAGGCCCGAAGACGCCAGCGAAAGGACTTCAATCGCTGTCACGCCACTTGCGAACTTCGCCCGCTGTCCGTAGGAGAGGACGTGTGGGTACAATACGTGCGGTGCCGAGCAACAGTCCTCAGTCCAGCGAAGCGGCCGTGCTCCTACGTAGTCGAGACTGGGACAGGAGTCCTGCAACGCAACCGCTGGCACCTGGTACCATTCGATGCGTCTCCGGCGGGTTTCGACGCTCCGGATCCCGGCGGTTCGACCAATGAGACTACGCTACAGCTCCAGCCAGTCCGGCGGTCTCAACAGCAAGAGCAAGTCTGGGTGCAGGGAGCCAACAGCAGCCTACCGCAGTTGAGCCTGCACCAACAGCAGCGCCGACGAACTTGAACTCCCCTTCAACATCAACGTCGACGGACAATACGCCGATAAGAGTGACTCGGTCCGGCCGCCAAGTTAGGCGACCCGTACGTTTGAACTTGTAAAACTTAGAAGGGGGGATGTAGTGATGACACGACAGTTCTCACTCGCGTGCCCCGCGGCAACGCGTCCATGCTAGTGCGCATGCTCGGGGTTATCTCTTCAGTTCGAGAGAAGTGATAATAAAACACTTATGTTCCGGACTCCGGTGTGGCTGGTCGCTCCTTCCCCGCGAGACAACAACCTCCATAAAACAAGTGGCCACCAGCCTATTACGTCTGAGGAGGGAGGAGTGTACCCGGAGGTCTTCTCCCAAAACGGCTGATCCGGGCTGCCACCAAGTCCTCCTTCGGTGGCCTGTCGAGGCTGTGGCTCAGGCAGGGCGGATCTGGTCGCTCCGCATCCAGCTCAAAGGCTTCCCTCAGGGACCCCATCTCCTCACAAACCGTCACAGCTTGAGCAAGGAGTTTTGCGACATAGCCTGCAGAATCAATTTGAACACGAATCATCTTGCCAACTGTAGTACTTCGATAGCAAATCAATGACATGCAGTGATCTGAGTTACAACGAAAAAAGGCAGCACCTGCTCTCCCCCTCTGTAATGCCTTTTGGCCCCTGAGGGCATGATCAATAAATAAATAAATGTTGGCACTTTGGTTAATTTTTCTTTTGAATACTCTTCACATTGGTAAACAATGAAATAGATATAAATACCTAGTATTTGTTAAATATTGCTCTCTAAAAAAAAAAAGAGTTTGCGAGGCTAACATTTTTGGCCTCAACTGCACAGTTTTTTCTTCGAACAATAGGTAACTCACTTCGTATAGGGCCCGGGAACAACAAATAAGGCCTCCCCCCCCCCCCCTCACAGAGATGGTAAAATGGAAAACGCAAGGAAAAAGAGAAACCCTGAAGCCAATACAGCACTCAGAATTCTAGTTGTCACAGAAGAAACATGGTTATGTCTCAGTAAAATAAATTCACGATCACAAGGAATCTTTTGCTCTGCACATGCCAATTATTTTCATGATCTAGTTAAATTGATCAATTGTAGATAATCTTGCTGTGAATATGTTGAAGTGGGTAGTGAGCAGCATGTAATAATTACAAAGTTCATATATTAATCACTTAAAAATTATTATAAAGATTATTTTCACAATGCTTGAATGCACTCAAAACCACGACAAAGTGAAATTATTTCTAGGTTACCATATGTGGCTTGGGTCTTCTCTGGATGAGCAGTGTGGTGCCCTTTTCTGGCCTTGGGCGACTTGAGCTTCCACTTCATCTCGCCTGCTTGGGTGATGGCCTGCTCCCTGCTGCCATTCTCGTTGTAGTGCAGCGCTGCTACACGAGTCCTACAATAGAAGATGCAGTCGAACAGGTTGTGGTGCTTCTCCCACAGGTGGTGTACATTTGGGCGTGCAGCTCGCCGTGTTTTCGAAGGTGGGAAACTCGCACCTACAGCATGCGTTTCTTACCTTCGATAACACATTGGTGACTCAAAAATTTCGAGCATGCAAGCATAAATAAAGCACAACAAAAGGCAAGCAGCATGTGCTGGAGCTTGTACATAAAAAGAAAACCATGAACTTGCAAGACCAAAACAAACAACATGTTGCCTGTGGAGTCGCGATCAACAGACAAGAAATTATAAAAGGGTGACAGAGAAACCTGCGATGAATGGATGGTAGCGGCCATTGTAGCAGGTGCTAGCTTGCACCACCAAGCCTTGAACTTCAAAGTATGTTGCCATCGTTGAATGAGTTCTAGGCTTTTTTTTTCACTTTTAGTTTTCGGGTCCACTTGTTAGAGCACATAATTTAGAGTGCAATTTAAAAAAAAAAAAGTTAGAATCGTGGAATAGCAGTAGACAACGAAATATAATGTTGCACAGTGAAACCGTAGTAATCCTTATGAATCAACTAGCAACGGAAGAACTGAAAGTGTTGTACATCCATTCTCCATATTTTATTTTTAAATGGTAAGTGATGTGCCGAAATGCACATCACACACATAGGTAGCCCTTCCATATTTTGTCATGATGTAGCACCTAAAGATTTTTTCCTGAGTAATTTCTACATTTTCATACCTGGCAAGCATGCCTTTCGGGTGAAATGCGGCCCACTTGGGTGCGAAGCCATTGAGGACCGAGTGGAAGGACTCCAAAGCATACGTCTGACTGTCCGGGGACAGCTGGCGCAGGTCCTTCAGCAAGGACTTGCTTGTGACCACGTCGACAAATCTGACACGTGCAGGTGTATCTAGAAAAACAATAAAACACAAAAAGGGCTTGCTGTAAAAAAATGCACTTCATATTTTGTATGTTCCCCTCAAGAGCTAAAGAAATAATATTGTCCATTTTTTCTTGACGGCCGTCGCCTTTCACATTTATACGATGTAAAACCGTCAAAGATATGTGAAATGTCTATTCACCTGGAGTCAACCATTCGCCATCCTCGATCGGCTCGTGGAGACACTCGGTGTAGACCCCAGGGTGGCCCACATGAACATTCACCACGTGCCTGGTGATGCTTGACCAGGCATCCACAAGGAGGTCCCCTTCGCCCTGGCTTGCTGCAGCGCACCAGTACATATGGTTGATGGCTGGCTGAGCCCAGTCAGCAATTAAGCCACACTCTTGGCCCTTGCCTGCAGCATTTAGGCTCTTCTTGACACCTGCGATTGAAGGAGTGCACAGAGTCAGCCATAGTCTCTCTTGCTCTAACAGCTAGTCTACATGGAAATATTTAGCACCTCACAAAGTATAATCATGCCTTTTGTCAGTGATGCTTCCAATATTTTAATTGGAAATGGGAATTCTGTTCTAATTTGGGGCTTTCAGTACCAACTGCCCAGCATATGCGAGCACAGTAATGTGAGCAACGTAAGTAAGAGTACAGAGCAGTGGTGTAGCTAAGGGAAGGGCTTATAAACTTCCACCCCCCCCCCCCCCGGCCCGCCCCCCCAAAAAAAATGTGGATGCTTAGGAGAGTTTGAACTTGCAGGTGTGCAGAGCGCGTATGTCTTGGTTTATGCTACAAAAATTAAAGATCCATTAGTGGATCCTTAGGGAATGAGTTAGCATAACCCTTAGGAAACAGCACACACGACCCCCTCTGGGAAATGCTTACGCTAAACCGTTCACTTTTCTGTTTTGGCTTTCTCTGTTGCTGCTTCCATTTTTGGCTGCATCTCCTTGGCTTTGTTACGGGGTCAGTGTTAGCGTTTCCCAAAGGGGACGTGTGCAGCGTTTCCCAGGCGACATGGTAACGCATTCCTTAAGAATCCACCAATGGATCTTTTTTTAATTTTTGTAGAACAAACTAAGGCATGCGCACCCCACACACCTGCAAGTTCAGACTCACCCCACCATTTGCATTTTAATTGGCTTCCGCATTGTGATGTTTCCTTCCTCTCACCTTTATCCTTCAATACACTCCTCCATTTTACGTGCTGCGTTTCCCTTTTTACTGTTTTGTCCACATACGAACGCCGTCAGCTTTTTTCTGTCGTGGGTACTAATGCTATTAAAAAAACAATTTCTGGCAGCGCCACTGGTACACAGGGTAAAGCAGTCTGATATAGCAGCATACCATAGTTCTAGCTCTAGTTCGAACATATTGTGTTTAAAATGCAGGTTTAAAAAGCAAAAAAAAAATGATAATTAAGATAGTGGATGTAAAATAGAAAAAATAGAGATTTCTCAAAAATTTAAAGCCATTTCTCTTTTTCATTCAGGAAGATCTACAGTGGAAAAAATGTTTATGTATCCACAAGACAAAATGTAAAAGCTTAGTGATACTAGACAAACAAACACAGCTCGCATATATGGCAGCTTCACCTTGTTAGAAAGCTTGCTTATATTAAACATTCCCACCCAATGACAAAGGGCTCTGTTTCCCAACAAGTAGGACATTGCTTGGGTCGCCAAAACCCCACTTTTGCCATGTTGACGAGCAGTGTAGGCTGTTTGTTTGCAAAGTTGAGCTGGTCCAGAGCAAATGACATTTACTTTTAGAGACATGCCAGACATCGAAGAAGTGGAGTATGTCCGGTTCCTTCTCCCTCAGGTGCTTCGCAATGGAGCGGTGCCTGTCGGTGGTTAGGGACCGCACCGTGAGCCCTTCGTCCCTTGTGAAGGCCAGGGAGCGCAGGAGGCCTTCCTTCTCCATATGCCCACTGCAGCGGACCGCCTCACACTGCATAATCACCATAAAAAGGAGCAAATCCTTCTCAGTTGCTGCAATGATTATTATGTCTACTGTATATACATGTATTCTGCAGCCTTAAAAGTTCTGCACTATTTGCTCTTTAGATATAAGAGGTGCGAACACCTAGTTTCGGACAGAAATTTTGTTTCAGAGGTCTGTTTAACTCCGTAGTAATACATGCTAGATAAAGATGCAAAAATAAATTGAAAGACAGGAAAGGTATGCAGCAGACAGTGGGATGGCCACAGTATCAAACATATTTGATTTTTTTCTGAAAAATTTGAATTAAAAGGATAGCTAGCAGCGAGCAATTTTTAGAATCGCTGCAATTAACAAAAAGCAAGGAAGCTCTGCCTTCTGCCACAGGAGCATTGAGTCACTATCATTAGTTATAATCGAAGGCTTCACTGTGTATCAGGGTGTACTATTCTTCATCCCAGATTTACGGGTCCCAAACAAAAACTGCTGTAAGGAGGTAGCTTCATCCATTGCTCACCTCTCCAACCTGCACCTGCTCAAAGTGCAGGATTTTGTTTACACGTGGCAAATGCAGGGAGTATGTGAGGTACTTGGCGCTGAAGCCTGGAGAATCGCATCTCCCATCTCCAGCGAGGTCAAACGGCTCGTCGCTGAGCTCGTCCAGCAGCAGCTTCTGCTCATCTCTCCACACCTGTAAAAAGCAATACTGAAATGTTGGAAACTGCCGTATAGCTTCTACTTGTTAAACACTGCGTTTGAACATGAAAATATGTAATATAAAAAAACAAGTGTCATCATAATCACCTCTTCAACAGCTGGAACTAAAATTGCCCGCTGATAGTTGAAGTAAGTCTTCACGGAGAAAACTTGGATGTTCATCATCCGGAACAGGCGCAGCGTTTTGGCGGGAGAGGCACCCGTAAACAGGACCATGGACGTTAGGAGCAAGTTTCCAGCCCCCCTGCCGTTGATGTAGGGCTGGTTGTCCCAGCGGTTCGTGTGACCAGCAGGGCAGGAGGTGTACACAGAGATCAGTGTACCATTCGACTTGATGGATGCCTTGCAGGGGCTGTAGCAAGACTGGCATACTTCAAAGAGTTGCAGAAGGTAGCTCTCGAACACCACGAACTTTCGCTCCATATACCCTGGCTCCGCACCCGTGGTGGTGTTTTTCCTGTAAAAGTTACAAATGTGTACCGTTCAGAACTCATTACTGTGCTCAGCTTATCAAAGAATAGGGCATTATGTCATTATATTTGGGCTGGAGATTTTAGGGTGTTCATTTCTAAGAAATATTTGCAGCCTTTTTTCACTTTTTATTCTTTTCCCCCATAAAACATGCATATTTTGCCCATTTATTTCGGGTGGACGCATCCAACCGTGATGATCACTGAAAAGTAATTGCGAATGAATGCACAAACCTCATAAAGACTAAGATCTGAAATTTATTTACAATTTATAGACTTCCTTATAAATTATGACGCTTCATGCTCACCATAATGTAAATTGCTTGCAAACGACGGGCAATGAATCTGCACTTTGTGAAAGTTTGAATATTCTTTAACGTAATCACTCGGAGCTTTTCTTATTTTCTTCTTACCCTACTACCCTCCTGCTCGGTGCGCCGACAAAAATTAAAGAGTAATCAATTTGTCCTCGTCACAATTCATTTGATTGCAACCACCAGTACTTTCCAACATAATTCAAAGATTCAAGACTGCTGAAACGCAGGAAAAAGCTGTAGCCAGCTAAGCATGAATGTGCTTTTGTGATATGAGATGTTTGGTAAAATTGGACTTGTATCTACAGAGGACAAATTTCTCAAAATTTAATGGCGTTTTGATGTCTTGTACCAAAACAGCTTCATATAAATAGGTCACATCATAGTTACCAAGGCTATGCTGATTTGATTTGTTGCACAGATCCCAGGCCCTAAATGTTCCAATGAACCTAACCTGTTTCATACAGGGAGAAAACCATTCTTACTCGACAACGCTCTCTCTGACTAACGGCTCGAATGTGGGATCCTCGTCCTCGTTGTCATCCTCGTCCTCGTTGTCATCATCATCCTCGTCGTCGTCGTCCGACTCGCTTGGTGCTGGGCTCAATGCTGGCCCCATGGACGCTGGGTCAGCAGGTGCCAGAACTGGCCTTTGTAGTGGCACAGGAGAGTTGGTGCTTGAGGAGCTTCTTACGGTGTCGCTGCTGCCACCAGCTAGCTGCAAGTCCTCAGTCTGTACAGAGTGGCTTGTCAGCGCTCTTGCATAGAAGTTGTCCTGCGTGCCTGAAAGGGATCAAGAACAGAGGTTTAAAGGGGTGTGTGCAACCCCCCCCTCATCCCCCTCCCTCCAAGCTTGACCCATAAATCCGCCCCTAATTCGACATATCAAACTAGCCACGCATAGGCTTTATTTTTTTTTTTCACGTGACGCCAATCACAAGCAGGCGAATACAGGCTATAATTAGAATGCAATTAATTGCAAAGGTGCAAGCGAGCTGGACAAGAAAGATGAAAATAATCCCTGGAGAAGGGGAACAAGGGGGACAGAGGACAACACAAATCTCCAAACACAAAGGTGACTGGTGCGAGGCTGCTATTTCATGCCTACCAACAGGCTGCTTCCCCAGCCAAGGGTCCGTTCCCACAGAAGCGCCTTTCACGGTAGGCGGCCTCGGAGTCTGTGCAGGCGCCTCTTTCTGCTCTGGAACGGCCTGAACCGCCGCGTCGCGGGTGGCCATTCGGGGACCGCAGTGGCAGCAGTACTCGCGAGGCTCGCAAGCTGCCTCGCTCTCGACGCAGTTCGTCTCTTCACTCGGCTTGTCACCCTGGAAAACCGAATATCCTCATAAAACTTCTGCTGAAAAAGTGCATGGACGCGTACCTATTCACTGAAGTAGGAACGCCACTTACCATAGTTCTTCGGCGTTTCAGCGTTGGGCCTTTCGCTGCGAGGAGGGGAGGCTTCGCGGAGGGGGGCAGGCGAAGAGAAGGAATGACACCGGGCTTCATGTGTCGTTTCTTAGTAGTCTGCCCAGCATCCCGAAGGATGCTAGCGATGCAGTGGTAGTCCCGTTCGCCATCAAATGCTGGGAACACACTCGAAGATCAACCGCTCCTGGGTCCTCCCTTCCGATTCTCTGGCACCACGCACCCCTGAGGGGTTCCTCGCGCGGTAGTCGATGGTACAGGAGATTTGGAGTTTGGACGAACAGGGGACTCCGGTTCGGGCACAACGAAACACCGCACCCGGTAGGCATCGCCCGTGATCCCGGCGGGCGATACAACCGTTCGTTGAGAAACGCGCGGAAACGAAAGTTCGCAGTTTGCTCCTCGACAAAACCAAACAAACCCGGGGAACGACTCGGAGGGTGGCCGGACCACGAGGGCCGGACGGCTGCGCAGGTGGGATGGTTTCGTTGGCTTTCGGTAGATGGCGCCACGACAATTTATAAATTTTATGGATAAAACTAGACTTTTTTCGCATTAATTTACGCTCAAACGACAAGATTTTTAAAAAGAAACCTTAAATGGAAAACAAAATTGCACAAATCGCTAACTTTACAAACAACATCCTCCACAGTACGTCACAGAGCGGTTCCTGTAATCGCCACAGGTGGCTGTAGGTCGGGCAAATAATTAGTTTTTTTCTTGTCGATTACGCATTGGAATCTCGTTATTACGGGTCAAGGATGCATGTTTTCGTTTACCTGTGGAACGATAAGCAATATAAAAAATACAAACGGTAAATTCTTTCAACCTTAAAATTGTTGCACAGCCCCTTTAACACTAAAACGAGAAAACTGCGCAAAATAAGAACGGATTACAGGAAGACACTGACAGACGAGGTGCTTCGTTTCAAAACATCTTCAACTCGCCCAGGTTTATGTGCTTCTACAGGTGATTTAAAACCTTGATTGATCTAGATTTTTTTATCACGTAAGTTTAATTATGAGCTTAAAGGACGTAATGAAGGCGCAAGCTCTTGTTTGCTACTTGTCCTGTCAGTGACTCTATCAAACTGAGCTCTAGCGTGACAAACTAACAAGGCACATTTGTAAACATAATTGAAACTTTGCAGTTACTGATGTTGAAGGTATATTAAATTACGACTGAATTACTTTAAAAAGTACGTTCTTTCAATCATAATCTACCAACAAGGAATTCTCCTATCGAATACCATGTAAGTATTGTCGGGCCTCATACGTAGGTGAAAGTAATAATTTCGTAGAGAGGTTTACGCGACACAGGTACGCGATTCGGAGGAATGATGTAGAGGCACGCGCCCTTGCGGAACACGCAAAAGCAGACGGCCACACAGTCGACTTCAAAAGCAGCACCGTGTTGGACTTGGAGAGGAATTGGAGAAAACAGCGTTTCTTTGAATCTTGGTCCATTCATCGCACAAAGGAAAACCTGGATCGTTCTTCGGGCTCCCTGCCCAGCAGCTACGTCTCGGGATTCCGTGTAGTATGCGAAGCCCCATACATCCGTGTGTACATTTATGCGACGCGCGTTCTTTACGTCACTCACCGTGAACAATGGACCGAACTGGTCTCGAAACGTCCGGTTTATGTTTACTAAACTTTTGGCGAGAGTCCAATTTTTGTCTTAATTGTCTAAATAGCAGGTTCCACTACAATACAAATATGGTAACGTCAAATAAATGGATCACATTATTGCGCTTTTTTCCATCCATTGGACTCTTGTAATGCGCTCTTTTATTCCTTAGCAGGTATTTTTCTACGCGGAATAATGCTGAATACCAGTGATATTCAACAGTATTTGTTTTATCAGCAGCTGCCTGGTGATAAAAGAACATAACATTATCTAAATAGACACCTCAAAAAAAAAAAAAGCGAATTATATATTATGAATTCTCCCAAGCCTCCATGTAATACCCGGGCTACGTAAACTCAGCCAGGCTCACTTTTTCTTGACAGCTAGGATTCATCAAGAGAATTACTACAGAATTAGGTAAACACCCCGTTGATACGGGAATTGAGACGGTAGCGAACCGTCAGGTTTTCGACCCATCTGAATATAATAGTTAAAAAGAACTTTTACTAAAGTTTGGTGCGGCATGTATTATATTTTTTTAAATATATATATTTGTAACAATAAAGAGCTTTAGATGTTTTCCACTGAAGGATTGATTTGAGTATGATACTTTAAAAATAATATTGCAGGTGATAATGCAATTACTGCAAAGGTGCAAGTGAGCTGTACAAGAATGGCAATAATAGCCCCAGGAGAAGGGGAACAAGGGGGACAAAGGACAGTTCGGTGAAACAATTGAAACTTAAGCAGCAAAACATTTTAAAATAAATTGATTACGCTCTATATCTGCGAGTTCTCTCCTATATCTCTAAGGTGGATAGAATTCTCTCATCAAACGCCGTAGCAGGATTACCTTTTTTATTTTTTTTTTCTAGGGAGCTTTTTGTCCTCGGTACCCAAGATCCGAGGTCGTGAGGATAAACATAGGATGGGTATGGATTACTAGTTTTTTTAATAATCCTGAGATATAAAAGAAATGTCTATTTTTGTTTACAAATCACGACTTTCCTAATAATTATTTCAACATATACTGGATAAGCATTGTAATATTTTTGTCACAATGTAGCCATAATAATTATGGAAGATGAAAACAAGCAAGACCAAGTTGAACTTCAACCATTTTAAATAAAAATAGCTATTTACGTAGAAAATACGAAAGACAAAACGTGAGCCAAAATATTCACAAGATAACGTGATAAGTGGTCAAATGTATTGTTTGCAGACCATGCTTGCCGACGTTGCTACGTTGATTGCAATCCTTACCATCCAGGCACCATACGAAAAAAACGCCAAACTCGGCAAGGTTGGGAGTCCTGGGGGTTTAACTTTGGCGTCATTATATTTTGTTCCAAGGCAGTAGTTTGTACTAAAGTATGTTTGTTTGGCGTTTCAATGGTGTTTCATTGGTTTGCAAGATAGTCTTTAAACTACCAGACTTCAGTAAAAGATGCCACTTATGAACCAAAACAAGGAACGAAGCCTGATTTTGGCACGTGTTTTGAACTTTATGGTCATAATACCCGGACACTCACCAAAGGATATCAAGTTTGTTTATACCTTGCCCTTTATACGCATTCAAAGCCATAAAGTGCCACACAAAAAGCGCAATGTGGCCCAATGAACTGCACTTATTGGGCTGTTATCTACGCTTGCCTAGGGATAGTGGAAGCGTCATAGTAAAGCCTTGATGTTTGGGCCTGAGGGATGTTTTTTTCGAAGGAAAAAGGTCTCGTAAACTTGTACCGAAAGTAGATCTCGTTGGCCCGAGACCAGGTTACCCAATCCTAGTTTGGAACATGTTATCTAAACGGCCAGTCCCGTTCCCGCTTGTAATTGTATATTGTAATTACTAAGGAGTAATTACAATA